CTCTCTGCTTCCTATCGGTGAGTCATGACTCGAACCATGAGAGCACTTTTCCCCCAATGCCATGAGCTGCCACTTTCCTCAACAGTCTCTGGTGTGGTACTCTATCAAAAGCCTTTCTAAAGTCTAAATAAACAATATCGAATTCTTTATCATGGTGAACGGCCTCAAAAGCTTTACTGAAGAAGGTTAACAAATAGTTAGGCAGGAATGGCCCCTTGTGAATCCAAGCTGAGTATCATTAATCAAGCTATGCTTATCAAGATGGCTTTTTATAATATCAGCTATAATTGACTCTAGTAATTTGCCTACAATTGAGGTTAGGCTTATTGGGCGGTAATTTGATGGTAACGACTTGTCCCCTGCTTGAAAAATAGGAATTACATTAGCCATCTTCCACATATCAGACCCCTGGTTATCGGCCGGTTTGGTTATTAGCCAACTCGGTTATCGGCGGGGTTTTCGGCGCTCAGTTATCGGCTGTTTTGGACACGTCCATCCACTGGCTGGGGCAGCTTGCACTTTGTCTCTTGGTGGCTGAGGATGCTTCTGCTCATACATCCAAATATTTTGCTTGTTTACCATTGTTTTTAGTGGTTTTTCTTGCAGTGCAACTGTGAAATAAGTAACCATGGCTCCAAAGAAAGTTCCTAGTAAAGTTCCTGTGGTAAAGAAAGTGAGAAACACCATGGAATTTAAGCATGAAGTGATACAAAAATTTGAGAGTGGTATGAAGGTGGTGGAACTTCCCAGGATGTACAACAAGAATAAATCAACAATTATATCCATCCTGGCAAAGAAAGAACAAATCAAAGATGCTAATGTTGCAAAAGGAGTAGCTTTTCTAACTAAACAAAGGACATCGATAATGGAAGAGATGTTAAAGTTATTATTATTGTGGATTAAGGAAAAAAATTAGTGGGAGACAGTGTAGTGGAATCGATCATTTGTGAGAAGGCAAAGCAGTTGCATGAGGATCTTGCAAAGAAAATGCCTGGAACAAGTGCTGCAGTTTGTAAATTTAGGGCCAGCAAAAAATGGTTTGGTAGATTTAAGAAGCGCAGTGGCATACACAGTGTTGTAAGGCATGGTGAGACTGCAAGTTCTGACAAATGTGCAGCTAAAAGTATGTTCATGAATTCCAGAACTATGTAAAGGCTGAAGGATTCAAACCCCAACAAGTTTTCAGTTGTGACGACACAGGCCTGTTTTGGAAGAAAATGCCAAACAGGACATACATTACCCAGGAGGAAAAGGCACTGCCAGGACACAAGCCTATGGAAGACAGGCTTACTCTTTTGTTGTGTGGTAATGCTAGTGGTGATTTCAAAGTGAAGCCTTTACTTGTGTATCACTCAGAAAATCCCAGAGTGTTTAAGAAAAACAATGTCATGAAGAGCAGATTGTGTGTGATGTGGAAAGCTGATCATAAGGCATGGGTCTCAAGGCAGATTTTCAAAGAGTGGGTTAATACATGTAATGTGTTTTGCCTGAGTGTGAAAAAATACCTCCTGGAAAAGAAATTGCCACTCAAGTGCCTTCTGTTACTGGACAATGCTCCTGCACATCTTCCAGACTTAGAAGACCAAGTGTTTAGGGACTTCAGTTTTATAAAAGAGAAGTTCTTGCCTCCTAACACCACTCCTCTCCTCCAGCCCATGGACCAGCAGGTCATTTCTGACTTCAAAAAACTCTACACAAAAGCAGTGTTTCAAAAGTGCTTTGAAGTGACCTCAGACGCTCAGTTGACCCTAAGAGAGTTCTGGAGGAATCACTTCACTATCCTCCATCCTTATAGGTAAGGCTTGGGAGGGAGTGACTTCCAGGACTTTGAACTCTGCTTGGAGAAAACTGTGGCCGGATTGTATCCAAGAGAGGGATTTTGAAGGGTTTGAGACTCACCATGACCCTGACCCTGCCGACCCTGTGAACTCTATTGTGTCTTTGGGGAAGTACCTGGGGTTGGAGGTGAGTGGTGAGGATGTGAAAGAGTTGGTGGAGGACCCCAGGGAAGAGCTTACCATTGAAGAGCTGCAAGAGCTTCAACTTGAGCAGCAACAGACTGTAGCTGAGGAACTTGCTTCAGAGGAGGAGGAAGAGGGAGTGAAGGAGGTGCCTTCTTCAGAGATTAAAGAGGTGTGTGCAATGTGGACCAGGGTGCAAGCTTTTGTAGAGAAACACCACCCTGACATAGCTGAAACAAGCCATATCTGCAACATGTTTAGTGACAAAACCCTGTCCCACTTCAGGGAAATCTTAGAGAGATGCCAGAAACAGAGCACTCTGGACAGTTATTTTGTGAGACAGGGGTCTAGTGACTCTCAAGCTGGTTGTGGTGGCATTAAAAGACAGAGAAGGGAAGTAACCCCAGAGAAGGCATTACTACCTAAAGTCTTCATGGAGGGGGATTCCCCTTCCAAACATTAACTCCTCCCTCTTTCCTCCTCCCTATCTTCCAGAAGCCAGCATTAGCCTTCAATACAGGTATGTAATACTTACATAATTGTAAAAAAAATTATTTTTTTTGTGAATATTTTTGTTTGGAACGAATTAATTTTATTTCCATTAATTCTTAGGGAAATATTAATTCAGTTATCGGCTGACCTTCAGGAACGGATTACGGCTGATAACCGGGGGTCCACTGTATTTCATTATTTTCATATGATGCTTCATCCATTAAAGATTGATGCCGTTTGCTATTGTTTTACTGTAATCATGGAAAAGCACTAAACCATAGCAATCACATTGCAGTTGTGGAAAGGGGGCATTCAGATTAGATCCAAACACGGGAAGAATAAGTCCACTTCCATGGATGAAGAGCCCCTCACCAGCACCCTTCATGGGTGTCTAGGTGCTGGTATAATCCAGGTATTTAATGCAAAACATTACTATACCATTTTCAGATTAAAAGTGACAAATGACACCTACAATCTTCATTAACAATACTAATTTTCTTCTAAGTAGGATAAGCGGCTATTGAGGCTTTTAAACCAAGCAGAAGAGGCTTTCTGAAGTTATCTCATGGAAATAAACTTCAGGTATAGTATATATACAGTTGAAGAAAGGGCACCTGCATTTGTCAATTCTTCTATAAATCGTTGATCAAAGCTGAAAATTTCAAGGCAATTGTATTAGACATTCTGAGGACATAAACAATAATCTTGGATTAAATTAATGGAAGACGAGAATTCTGTAAGGCATAGAATTTTAAAGTATTTATTAATCTCGTAAAATTTAAAAAATGCTATAATAACATGAGTTTTCAATATTTCTCAACTTTCTTTTTGCATGTTTATTCTATTAAAAATTCTCTGCAATCCTCTAATAAAAAATATATGATTAGTATTTGGATTTTAACATAGTTCACTTTAACAAAAACTTCTGAAAGTGGCAAATTAACACGTACAAAACCCAGATTCACTGCAAATATACTTTAAAATACACGAAGGTTTTAGTGTGAAGCCGACCATAAGAGGCATTCTCTAGTTGAGCAGTTCTTAGCCGGGGAGGCCGGCTTTCCTAGAGTGTAATATCCAGTAGTGAGGCTGCTTAAACCCAGAGTAACAGTGAACAATATTTTGTGTATTTGCTCCATAAAGAGACTTTTCAATAGTTAAAAATAATAAAGTTAAAAATGAAAACTAGTTTCTTAATTTTCCCATTTAAATAAAGAGGACTTTTTTTATTTTTATTTTTCATTTAGAATTTTACATGAAGAAAGGGGGGGGGGGTGGAGATGAGCACCAAGTGCAATGGGGGGGGGCACTGCCCAAGAGAGGTTAGAAACCATTCCTCTACTTATTACATAAAAATTATTTAGCAAAATTGGCAATTTAAAATTTACATAGCTGAAAGTGGACGGTAAATTTTCTTGTAATAAAACCCATCAACACAAAGTTTGAAGCTTATCAGAAAAGGCATTCAGCAGTAATTGCTCTGAATCTGACAATTCCAAGTTTTTAATAGCTTCATTAAATTTTAAAATTTGCATCAGAACAAAAAGTGTAAACACACAGTTGTTTTCCTTCTTATGAAATGCATCAGAGTTAATATTTTGACTTCGATAACATTAGGCATTCTTTATTTAATGAATGAAAATCAATATAATTATTTATTTAATAATATTGGGAAGCTGAGGTGTTTGGAGCTCATTAACATATGGATTGAAAATTTGAAGCTGATCAAGAGAATCATTCTCTAGTTATCACAGGATTCCAACGATTTCAAATTTATAAAAAATATACATTGACTTCACTGACACATTTGCCAGCTCAGAAATTAACTTTATTGAGTATTATCTTGGCCACAAGATGGATCAAACATTAATGCTGAATCTTTTCAGAAGAGGCAAGTCAAATGTATTTACAGGATTTTACGGAAATCAGTGTTGCATTATTGGAATATTGCAATATTCTAGTACTGGAATATTGCAGTACTAGAATTAATAATGGATTTTTGCACAAAAAATTTACAGATGTTCTCCTATTGCACTCTCTGCCCTTGTTTTTAAGGGTGTTGATGATGAGCGAGACTTTTAGTGGGTTGGTTGGAGCTAGGAATAGCGTATTTGGGTAGGTACCCATGAGGTAGTTTGATGGACGGGTGTTTGAGCTTGGGATTTTGTTCGCAAGATTTTTTCCTATGGTGGAGAAGAAAACATTGAGTCTGCTGTTTCAGTTGGTGTGAGTAGGGGTTCGTTGAATTAAGAGTCACCTTTTATGAAGGGTTGAAGCTGCCCAACTAAGAATTTTGGAAATTATCAGAGCCATTCCAAGCGGGGGTGAAGGAGTTCTACAACTCTGGTTATAGAGAATCTACGCTTGTTAATTGTTCTTAAAATTTGGGCATAGTTACCATACATAAGATGAGACCTTTAAGTGTTTTGAGTGAAATAAAAATGAAAGTTGGTGGAGGAAGTAAAAAGAAAACATTCTGGCAGTTAATGATCCCTCTTCTGGGATGCCTAATTATGAAATTATTTTCATGGATTTTTCCCACTGCAGGATCCTGACGTTTCTGCTAGTTACCGGTTTATGTGGGAGATCTTCCAGCCAATGCTCTTCGCTTCAATTGGAGCCGAAATTGATGTAAGATAATTGCTCGTGTTTTATTTTTGTTAGTAAATTTGCCATGAAACACCATGACCCTATTTGAAGCTAGATGTCTAACTTCGGCTAGGCGCCCATATTTATATGGCATCTGTCTAAGTGGCTTAAGGCTGCATATTTTGATGTAGTGTGTGCAGGTTCGAATCCTGCTGTGGACTGGTGGACCCAGAGATACTGTTTATATATACAGTGGACCCCCGACCAATGAAGGCATCTAACGATAAAATCGACTAACGAAGCATTTTAGCGTAAAAATTTTGGCCCGACCAACGATGAAAAACTCGACTAACATCATTCGTCCCGAACGCGTCCACGCGGCCTTCTCGCCTGAGCGTGCCTTAGCTGCCCTGCCTTCAGTTAGTGTGCCAATGTTTACAAGCCAGTGTGGTCGCTTCCACTCATACATTCAGTATATTTTGTATTATTCCAGTGTTTTTAGTGTTTGTAACTGCTAAATAAGCCACCATGGACCCAAAGAAAGCTTATAGTGCCAACCCTGTGGTAAAAAGGGTGAGAATTACAATTGAAATGAAGAAGGAGATAATCACAAAGTATGAAACTGGAGTGTGTGTCTCCGAGCTGGCCAGGTTGTATAACAAACCCCAGTCAACCATCGCTACTATCTTGGCCAACAGAAAGGCAATCAAGGAAGCTGTTGTTGTGAAAGGTGCAAGTATGTTTTCAAAACACAGATTGCAAGTACTCGAAGATGTTGAGAGACTGTTATTGGTGTGGATAAATGAAAAACAGATATCAGGAGATAGCATCTCTCAATCATATGTGAAAAGGCAAGGCAGTTGCATGACGATTTAATTAAAAAAAGGCCTGCAACTAGTGGTGATGTGAGTGAATTTAAGGCCAGCAAAGGTTGGTTTGAGAGATTTAAGAATTGTAGTGGCATACATAGTGTGGTAAGGCATGGTGAGGCTGCCAGTTCAGACCAAAAAGTGGCTGAAGAATATGTGCAGGAATTCATGGAGTACATAGAGGCTGAAGGATTAAAACCCCAACAAGTGTTTAATTGTGACGGCACAGGCCTGCTGTGGAAGAAAATGCCAAACAGGCCCTACATTACACAGGAGGAAAAAGCACTCCCTGGACACAAGCTTATGAAGGACAAGGTTACTTTAATGTTGTGTAGTAATGCTAGTGGGGATTGCAAAGTGAAGCCTCTACTTGTGTATCATGCTGAAACTCCCAGAGTGTTCAAGAAAAAAAATGTCATCAAGGCTAATTTGTGTGTGATGTGTAGGGCAGACAGTAAGGCATGGGTCACTAGGAACAATTTCTATGACTGGTTTTGTCATGTGTTAGGCCCCACTGTGAAAAATTACCTCCTGGAAAATGAATTGGACCTGAAGTGCCTCTTGGTATTAGACAGTGCTCGTGCTCATCCTTCAGACTTGCCAGAACGAATTTCGGGGGAGTTGAGTTTAACAAAAGTGAAGTTTTTGCCTCCTAATACCACTCCTCTCCTCCAGCCCATGGACCAGCAGGTCATTTCAAATTTCAAAAAACTGTACACCAAAGCAATGTTTCAAAAGTGCTTTGAAGTGACCTCAGACACTCAATTGACCCTAAGAGACTTTTGGAAAGATCACTTTAGTATCCTCATTTGCATAAACCTTATAGGTAAGGCTTGGAAAGGAGTGACTAACAGGACCTTGAACTCTGCTTGGAGGAAATTGTGGCCAGAATGTGTACAAGAGAGGGATTTTGAAGGGTTTGGGGCTAACCTAGAGGAGCCTATGCCAGATGTGGAATCTATTGTGTCATTAGGGAAGTCCATGGGGTTGGAGGTTAGTGGGGAAGATGTGGAAGAGTTGGTGGAGGACGATGATGAAGAACTAACCACTGATGAGTTGCAAGAGCATCTGCAACAGCAAGAGGACACAACTGAGGAAATTGCTTCAGAGGAGGGGAGAGAGAAATTGAAGAAGTTGCCTTCTTCAAAGATTAAGGAAATTTGTGCAAAGTGGGTTGACGTGCAAACCTTTATGGATGAAAATCACCCTGACACAGCTATTGCAAGCCGTGCTGGTGACTTTTACAGTGAAATATATATTTTTTGTTAGGTTCAGAATCATTTCTGCTAAATTATTTCATACACAGATTTTTGCTTGTCTTATTTGGCATGAAGAGCATTGCTGTTTAAGCAATTTTTGGGAGCCTTTCAAAGTTAAAAACTTAGATACTTATTAAAAAAACCTTTTGTTAATAATGGTATGAATACTCTGTAGGCATTATATTATAATTGCAGTTGTATTTGATATAAATTTATTTTAGTTAAGTATTAATGATTGAACATTAAAATGGTATAAAATACCGACAGGTTGTTAGGTAAGACACATATGCAACAATTAGGTATCTTTATTTCGAAACGTTTCGCCTACACAGTAGGCTTCTTCAGTCGAGTACAGAAAAGTTGATAGAAGCAGAAGATACTTGAAGACGATGTAATCAGTCCATCACCCTTAAAGTTTTGAGGTGGTCAGTCCCTCAGTCTGGAGAAGAGCATTGTTCCATGGAATGAAACCATATTGTTTCATTCCATGGAACAATGCTCTTCTCCAGACTGAGGGACTGACCACCTCAAAACTTTAAGGGTGATGGACTGATTACATCGTCTTCAAGTATCTTCTGCTTCTATCAACTTTTCTGTACTCGACTGAAGAAGCCTACTGTGTAGGCGAAACGTTTCGAAATAAAGATACCTAACTGTTGCATATGTGTCTTACCTAAGTATTAATGATTATTTGAAATTTACTAGAAAAAACTTTCCCACAGATTGGAGCGACAGATCCTGTCACTATTGGCTGGGGGCTGTTAGCCTTGTTAATTGGCATCTCCTTCAGAATAGCTACTTCGTTCATTGTGGTGATGGGCGCTTCCTTTACCATATGGGAGCGTTTGTTCATTGCCATTGCATGGTTTCCTAAGGCTACTGTTCAGGTAGGAATATTGATTAATATTAATGGATTGTGTAAGGGGCAGTGTCCTGTTCAAAACTGGGTGTTAGCTGACGGTTGTGGTTGGAGGCTGCATGTTAGCATTCCTTAGATAGGAGCTGGGTGATACATGTACTATCAATTTAAATGCATGTTATGGCATTTTAATGCCATGACACGCATTGTCTTATAAATGTACGTAGAAAAAAAACATAACACGGGTGGGGTTTGATCTCGCAGTCAGAGAGTCTCAAAAAACCAGACCATCGCGTTAGCCCCTGGACCAGCTAGCCACAATAGGATTCGTCCAACTAGGTATATTTCTACACCATAGGAAGGTTAGCATAGGCACCACTGTGACAACAAATGCAAGTTTTTACAGATGAATCTCCAGCTAGCGTGGCCATGACGAACTCTAGCTCAAGTCCCCTCAAAGCCGTTAACATGACTCACGAAATCGTAATGACACGATTGCAAACAAACCATACCACAGGTGAGGTTTGATCCCGCGGTCAGAGAGTCTCAAAACTCCAGACCGTTGCTTTAGCCACTGGACCAGCTAGCCACAATAAGATTCGTCCAACTAGGTATATTTCTACACCATAGGAGGGTTAGATGAAGGTTGGACGAATCTTATTGTGGCTAGTTGGTCCAGTGGCTAACGCGACGGTCTGGAGTTCTGAGACTCTCTGACCACGGGATCAAACCCCACCCGTGGTATGGTTTGTTTGCAATCGTGTCATTACGATTTTGTGAGTCGAGTAATGTACGTAGAGTTTGGGCCAAAGATAACGCTGTGGCAAGTTAGCAATGTTTAATCTAAAAGTTCTAAGATGTTAAAAAATGAGAAAACAGAACCTTAAATACTATACAACATTGGTAGAAATATTACTAGTGACAGTGTGACACTACACTGATTTTTTCATCTTATTAAAATTTTTTGGTTTAAAAAATAACAATGATAATAATATATTATTTATATTATCATATCATTTTCGTTCTCTGTATTCATAAGAATATGCTAAACCTGTATAGATCATTAAGAATTACTTGTAATATTCGGTAAATTTTATTTCAGATCAGAGAAAAATACAAAATGTTTTATTTCAAAATTCATTATGGTACATGGTTTATGTTATATGTTTACCCTGTGGGAGCTCTTGGATCCTTGAGATGGTAGTTGTTTATCCAGTGGAGCTTTTGGATCCTTGAAGTGGCAGTTGTTTACCCTGTGGAGCTCTTGGATCCTTGATGTGGCATTTGTTTGCCCTGTGTGGGAGCTTTTGGATCCTTGAGGTGGCAGTTGTTTACCCAGTGGAGCTCTTGGATCCTTGAGGTGGCAGTTGTTTACCCTGTGAGTGGGAGCTCTTGGATCATTGAAGTGGCAGTTGTTTACCCTGTGAGTGGGAGCTCTTGGATCATTGAAGTGGTAGTTGTTTACCCTGTGTGTGGGAGCTTTTGGATCCTTGAGGTGGAAGTTGTTTACCCAGTGGAGCTCTTGGATCCTTGAAGTGGCAGTTGTTTGCCCTGTGTGTGGGAGCTCTTGGATCCTTGAGATGGCAGTTGTTTACCCTGTGGGAGCTCTTGGATCCTTGAGGTGGCAGTTGTTGAATCCTTCCAGAAATTTAGTTGTGCCTATGAGTTACGAAAAACTCACAGAAAAGATAAACAGTACAAAAATAACAAAAAAAGGCACAATACCGTGACTGGAATGATACACAAATAACCAGTACAAGAGTTCTACATAATTACTCAGGTGACAACAGTGAAGGGCTTGCCATTAGCCGCAGGATGGGCATGGTATGCGCAGGCTAGCTGGATGGTTACTTTACTGGGTTTAAAGGTTGTTGACTACACTAAGGTTATTAAAACTGCAAGTACTCTTTTCACCACCAGACAAGAATACTTCAATCCAAGGGTTCTTAATCTTTTTACAATTACAGACCCCAGATGTGTTGCCCATTATGTCCCCTTATTCCCTTCGCCAGACTGTTACGATGATCATCATCACCCGTCCTATTAGGTTCCAGTATGACTTCAAAAGATGTCAGTTGCTTGGTTTTGCTCGACATATGGATAGCAAATAATAGGACAGCTGAAAGAAAATCATTAGGATTTATATTTATAGAAAAATGGCATTTTTCAGAGATTGAGAACTATACCCCATTAATTGGTTCTCATACACCCAAGAGGTATGAATGCCTCCGGTTACAAACCCTAGTAAATGCTCAGCATAAAAACACTAAATACACCTCTCACAGTATCTATCCTGTAGAGGCACAGGTTGGTTAGTTAAGAGAGTTCAAAGCCTATCAATGACATTAGGATCATTAAGGCTACATTGTAACTCTTTTTATCACCAAACAAAAATATTTTAATCCCTATTTAAAGATTAAAGCAAACTCTGCATATATTCACCTCTCAGAGTATATATCCTGAGTCCCATCCACAATAATGCTATCAGGTTAATTCTAAACCAGCTTCTAATTTTAACGCTAACATTGTTTTTTCCCCTTCATATACTTGCTCAAATTTCTCTACATTCTCTCCTTGGGTTAGGTTAGTTAGTGTTAATTAACTAAATTTAACTCATTATAATATAGTATACAAACACTAAAACCTGCAATAATGCATAATAATGCTATAATTTGATACTCAAACAGAAAACAGGTAACCACCAATTAGTACTATGCAAACATGATGCTAGTTAATACAGTGGAACCTCAAATTTCGAACTTAATCCATTCCAGGAGCTAGTTCTAAATTCGAAAAGTCCGAAATTCGAAGCAGTATTTCCCATAAGAAATAATGGAAATACAATTAATCCGTTCCAGAAACCCAAAAATATTCACAAAAAAACATACATTTTATAGAGATTAATTGCAGTTTTACATACACACAACAAATGCTATAGTCTTTAATTTTTTTTTTTTCAACAAGTTGGCCATCTCCCACTGAGGCAGGGTGACCCAAAAAAAGAAGGAAAATCCCCAAAAAGAAAATACTTTCATCATCATTCAACACACTCACACATTATCACTGTTTTTGCAGAGGTGCTCAGAATACAACAGTTTAGAAGCATATACGTATAAAGATACACAACATATCCCTCCAAACTGCCAATATCCCAAACCCCTCCTTTAAAGTGCAGGCATTGTACTTCCCATTTCCAGGACTCAAGTCCGACTATATGAAAATAACTGGTTTCCCTGAATCCCTTCACTAAATATTACCCTGCTCACACTCCAACAGATCGTCAGGTCCCAAGTACCATTCATCTCCATTCACTCCTATCTAACACGCTCACGCACGCTTGCTGGAAGTCCAAGCCCCTCGCCCACAAAACCTCCTTTACCCCCTCTCTCCAACCCTTTCGAGGACGACCCCTACCCCTCCTTCCTTCCCCTATAGATTTATATGCTTTCCATGTCATTCTGCTTTGATCCATTCTCTCTAAATGACCAAACCACCTCAAGAACCCCTCTTCTGCCCTCTGACTAATGCTTTTATTAACTCCACACCTTTTCCTAATTTCCACACTCCAAATTTTCTGCATAATATTTACACCACACATTGCCCTTAGACAGGACATCTCCACTGCCTCCAACTGTCTCCTCGCTGCTGCATTTACCACCCAAGCTTCACATCCATATAAGAGTGTTGGTACTACAATACTTTCATACATTCCCTTCTTTGCCTCCATAGATATCGTTTTTTGACTCCACATATACCTCAACGCACCACTCACCTTTTTTCCCTCGTCAATTCTATGATTAACCTCATCCTTCATAAATCCATCCGCCGACACGTCAACTCCCAAGTATCTGAAAACATTCACTTCTTCCATACTACTCCTCCCCAATTTGATATCCAATTTTTCTTTATCTAAATCATTTGATACCCTCATCACCTTACTCTTTTCTATGTTCACTTTCAACTTTTACCTTTACACACATTCCAAACTCATCCACTAACTTTTGCAATTTTTCTTTAGAATCTCCCATAAGCACAGTATATCAGCAAAAAGTAAACTGTGTCAATTCCCATTTTGAATTTGATTCCCCATAATTTAATCCCACCCCTCTCCTGAACACCCTAGCATTTACTTCTTTTACAACCCCATCTATAAATATATTAAACAACCTTGGTGACATTACACATCCCTGTCTAAGACCTACTTTTACTGGGAAGTATTCTCCCTCTCTTCTACACACCCTAACCTGAGCTTCACTATCCTCATAAAAACTCTTTACAACATTTAGTAACTTACCACCTATTCCATATACTTGCAACATCTGCCACATGCTCCTCTATCCACTCTATCATATGCCTTTTCTAAATCCATAAATGCAATAAAAACTTCCCTACCTTTATCTAAATACTGTTCACATATATGCTTCAATGTAAACACTTGATCTACACATCCCCTACCCACTCTGAAGCCTCCCTGCTCATCCGCAGTCCTACATTCTGTCTTACCTCTAATTCTTTCAGTTATAACCATACCGTATACTTTTCCTGGTATACTCAGTAAACTTATTCCTCTATAATTTTTACAATCTCTTTTGTCCCCTTTCCCTTTATATAAAGGGGACTATACATGCTCTCCGCCAATCCCTAGGTACCTTCCCCTCTTTCATACATTTATTAAACAAAAGTACCAACCACTCCAACACTATATCCCCCCCCCCTGCTTTTAACATTTCTGTCATGATCCCATCAGTTCCAGCTGCTTTACCCCCTTTCATTCTATGTAATGCCTCACGTACCTCCACCACACTTACATTCTGCTCTTCTTCACTCCTAAAAGATGGTATTACCTCCCTGGCAGTGCATGAAATTACCGCCTCCCTTTCTTCCTCAACATTTAAAAGTTCCTCAAAATATTCTTGCCATCTACCTAATACCTCCCTCTCCCCATCTACTAACTCCCCTACTCTGTTTTTAACTGACAAATCCATACTTTCCCTAGGCTTTCTTAACTTGTTTAACTCCAAAATTTTTTCTTATTTTCATTAAAATTTCTTGACAGTGCCTCTCCCACTCTATCATCTGCTCTCCTTTTGCACTCTCTCACCACTCTCTTCATTTTTCTTTTACTCTCCATATACTCTGCTCTTCTTATAACACTTCTGCTTTGTAAAAACCTCTCATAAGCTACCTTTTTTCTCTTTATCACACCCTTTACTTCATCATTCCACCAATCACTCCTCTTTCCTCCTGCCCCCACCCTCTATAACCACAAACTTCTGCCCCACATTCTAATACTGCATTTTTAAAACTATTCCAACCCTCTTCAACCCCCCCCCCCCCACTCATCTTTGCACTAGCCCACCTTTCTGCCAATAGTCGCTTATATCTCACCCGAACTTCCTCCTCCCTTAGTTTATACACTTTCACCTCCCTCTTACTTGTTGCCACCTT